CACAGACCGGCAATGCAAGTGTGTGTCTCGAGCGCATCGCGTGGAGGACTGGATTAGGTTGGGTCTCCGTGGTCGACTCCCCCACTCCACGAAGGTCCGCCAAAGGGGTGCCCCAACATGTCGCGTCCTGCTTTGGTGAACCGAGGACGGCCTCGAAGCCCCGGCTCGCGTGGCGGTGTCTGGTCGGGGGGGGGAGGGCATTTTGTTCTCTCGGTCGGAGTGTATGTCGGCTTGGGCAGGCCGTCACAGCTCCGGCTTTGCAGCGGCTCTCAGGGCCATTCGCTGGGAGCCCAGAGCTGCAAGGAACGGCACTTCTCTATCCGATCCCGCTTGGTGCAGGTCACGAGGCTATTGCAGCCCCGGTGGACTCTTCAGCACACGGTGCTGAGGACAGGCTTGACAGGCTGCCGCGTCTTGACGTTTTTGTCTCTTCTTTGCCTGTGGAGGAGCTGACTGCGCTCTTTGCCGAAGCTCGGATCCAACTGGCTGCCGGAGCCCAAAAACAACGCGCGACTTTGACATCAAAGAATCCCGAGCTCGACACTCAGAGGTGCTTGCAGAAGCTTCAGCCAGCGAAGCTAGCAATGTTCAAGAGGCCTGGGAGACTCTAAGCATCGCTTTGCCGCTCTGCCTCGTGACAGGCTGCTCGACGCCTCGGTGCCAGCACTGTTTGTGCGAACACTCTCGCCGTCGAAGGCCGCGGCCGTGAGTGGCCCGAGGGATTCGCTTCACTCGCTGGCAGGCAGCTCCATGCCAGCGGACGCAATCTCTGAGGGTGAGCCTGAACTAATCGCACGAGTCTGAACGCCGTCCTTGCATCACAGGATTGCCAGAGGGCTCCGAATCTCCCATGTTGCTATTCGCCGGCACCCCACTGGTCCTGGTTTGATAAGTTTTTTGAACGCAAGCTTCCGTGTGCCACGGGCGTCGCTTAGGCGCATTGCTGCACGTTGGGGTCGAGTGCACCTAGGGCGGCCGAGGTGGATATGCTCTGCAATAGAGTGCTTTTGCAAACATGTGGAGATGCAGCGGACATTCGCAGGTGGATAGACTTGCGCTGAGTGCCCGCGCGTTTCTCAAAGTCTCAGCACCATCCAGCACCTATGATGTCTTCTTGATAGACGTGAATACATTCCGAGGTATCTCCAGGTCCACTGGGGCATGGGAGTTCTGTGCTGAGGACACGGTGGGGCCCTTGTGAGTCCGGTTCCGCGAGCTTGCCAAACTTGCTCAAAGCACTGCCTTAGGTTTTGTCCCTGGGGCTCGAAGCCGGTTCCGCTGCAGCAGTCGTAGATGCCATGGAGGCATGCGGTTTGGCGAACTCGGCGGTTTCCGGCAGTGCGCACCGGCCCCAGGCACCACTGGCTTCTGGCGCTCATGTCGTCTGTTCGGCGGCAGAATCTGTTTGGGCAGGGACCCCTGGCCCAAAAGGGTGGACCTCGCATGCGGTCTCCCGCACAAGCCAAGGATCTCTGGTCCGCCATTGATGAGGCCAAAGAAGCCTCGGTGGCGTTCGTTGGCTCGGAGTGCGGGTCTTTGCCCATATGCCGCCTATCTTCATGGTGTTTGGAGTCTCGCTTTTCTGTTCAGAACTGAGGTGGTGCTGGAGCCTGGCAAAAAGCTATAGCTCCCTTGCGGCCCCGCTCCGGGAAAGTCTCCGATCTCGGTTTCGGGAGAAGCCTCAGCCTCAGATTGAAATTTGGTGCTGGCGGAGCCTGGGAGTCGGCTTCAATTGAGGCCATTTCGGCACTTTGTGGCTGCCGCGCCTGCAGGAACTGTCCTCTCGCAGGAGGGTTTGATGACCTTTGACTTTGGCTATCCGTCTCCCACATCTAATTACCTGCCTAGCATTGCCTAGGACTGCCGATAACTGACTATCCATCTGTCGACAAGTCTGCACAGAGACAAGCCTTGTCGAAGGACTTGGCGGCTCGCTGGCGTGAAATCTTCAACTGCCCGCTGACGTGGCACTTTAGTTGTGCCGAGGTGACTGACCCAACATGCTTCCATATTCTAGAAGAGTGACGATGTGCAGTCCGTGCTGCAGGATCTTCCAACAGCATTGGCACTCACGCATGCCATCACTTGAAGCTCCAAAGAAGGGAGTGACAGCATACTCAGAGCTGAGCACACTGAAGTTTGCCGAGTGGTCTCAGGGTTCACGAAGCCATGGCTCCCTTTGTGCAAGCTTGGCTCATGCCCTTCTTCGCGTCGGCCTGGACCCCAGGGATTCTGACGCCTTTTGGCCCTCGTCTCTGGGTTCAAAGTCGAAAGCACCTGGTGGCCGGAGGTGGTGGCTGCGACCTGGAAGCCTTCGACCGAGCTGGTGCAGCTGGAGCTGCCACCTCGAGGTGCACCTCTTCCGGAGGCCCAGTTCCGACCAAACTGAGAATGCTGAGTTTCCAATCTCCGGTGCGATGCAGAACTTCTCGAGGTACCTGCTTTCCGGTCCTCCAATGGAGTGCTCAATTGCACGCTGAGGCAGGAGTGCTGTACTCTTCAAAAGCAAAAGCAATTGTCTCGACGTGCAGGCTACGACCAGCACGGGTGGTGGGGCCAAACGTCAGCAGGGGACCTAAGCCGCTTCCGCAGCCTCTGCGTTTGCTTGAGATTCGTTTGGGTAGGCATATGCTTGTCAGTTCTTTGGACAAGATCAGTAACAGGCTTCGAGGAAACAAGCCACTGCAACTCGCTGTTGGTGTTTTCAGCCAATATCTCGGGAGTCGAACAATTTAGGTTGGTCCAACTTTAAACCCGTGGGTGGCTATAGTGTTCTTGTGGCTACAGCGTTCCCTGTCACTGTAACCTTGTCATTGCTCAGCACATCATGAAGTGTATTTCGCGCACATTGTCGTCGTTGTTGTCACGACCATTTTTGAAACGAGGGGCACTTCGGTGACAGCTTAGTGCGCCTGGTCATCATCGTGTTCTGTAGCTTGAACATGGTTGCGTTTTGCAGCCTCGATGTTGTTATTGTGCAGTGCTTCGATGCTTGCTTGCATGTTCACAAAATGTTATGCGAGGAGGCAGACATCTGATCTGCTGAGCGTCTGTTTGAATTAGCCTGATTTCTTGATCCATCACGATCCATCACGTGTTCTCCGAGTGGCTGGTGCCATGCAACTGTTTGGGCTCGCCTTGGCATCGCACTGAACAATGTTTTGCAGGCTTCGTGACGCGCATTTACAACGACTTCATCCCGGGTCCCACGATTATGATCAAGCCGGGTGACAGGCAGCCTGCTGAGACAAAAAACATAAAATTGCGGTGTGGGGGCTGTAGTTGCAGTCGTCGCTGAGACGAATCACAATCATCACCTTGGTCGTTAGCAGCAGCCCTGCTCGAGCAGATCACGATCATTATCAATATCGTAGTGTCGTAATCATCAGCATAATCGATGTCGTTATCTTCATCACCATTGTAATAACCATCACCGCTAGCACCATCGGCATCATTGCCATCATCATCATCATCATCATCATCATCATCGTCATCACCGTCATCACCATCATCATCATCGTCATCATCATCATCGTCATCGTCATCGTCATCATCATCATCATCATCATCACCATCATCACCACCACCACCACCACCACCACCACCGCCACCACCACCATTACCATCACCATCGTCATCACCATCATCATCATCACCATCGTCATCAGCATCATCAGCATCATCATCATCGTCGTCATCACCATCATCATCACCATCATCATCATCATCATAATCGCCGTCAGCCTGACCACGGTCGCTATGACTATCATTGTCACCATCACCATCAAGAGCATCGCATGATCAACTCCCGTCCTCAGGTGCCCATCACCACCCTCACCAAAGATTAGCAACAACGGAGGGACCCAAGCACAGTCACATCGTCAGCATCTCGGAATTGTCATTATCGCCATCCTGATTGCCATCTCCAGCAGCAGCTGCATCATAATGATCAGCGCCAGAGTGGTGGTCATGGCATCGTCATAAGTCATCATCCTCATCTTCACTGTCAGATAATAACTATCTCTAGCAGCAGAGAGCTGTTGCGCAATCAGCACCTTGAGCACTGACGGGCAACACAGATGTCGTCTTCTTTGTCGAAACAGTAGTAGCAACTTTACTACTACCTTTAGCATCAGCACCACTACCACAGAAACCTGAGCATGAGCATCAGTCAGCGTCAGTGTCACTGCAACACCACTAGCACCAAATAATGAATGATCGTTTTGTCTGGTGCTGGTTATGGCACTGGCGATTTCGATAGCGATGGTGGTTTTCGTGATGGTGTGGGTGATGATGACAGCGCCGCACGTGATAATGGACGGATTCTGACACTCGCAGGCTCCTGATCACAGTGCAGAACGATTTGCAGGCGCAAGCTCGCTGCCGCCTATCTTTCCGTCGTGTCAGCTTCCCACCAGATCAGCCATTTGTGGTTGTTGTCTTTGGCCCGACTACAGCTGTGTCGGCAGCTTCGTTGCGCGACTTTTATCAGACGCATTGTTTCGTAGGCTTTGCGTGTGTCCATGCCCATCTGATACCGATAGCAAGGTTTGTTGCAGTTTCGCCACAGGGGCTACATGGAGATGCCACCGGTGAGGGACGACATGGCTTGTGTGCATGCAAGTAAGCGAGTCTAAGCAAACGGCAGCCGGGCCAAGATTCCAGGTGCCACAAGCAGCCTCCAAGTCTTGCATGAGCCATCGTCGCTACAGTGAATGTATCTCTCCCGCTCTCCTCTCCTTCCTCCGAAAAAGCTCTGAAGAGTAAGCTGCCACTAGGTCACTAGGTCTCACCAGTCTCCTGAAGACCATGATTTGTTTGTAGCGTGTCGTTTCTGTGAGGCTCCGCTGGGCAAGGCTGCCAGTCGAAAGCTCAGAGAATGCAGAGATCTATCAGCAAATGCTGAGACGCTTGCAGAGGGGCTGACCTGCATCTGTGCGTGCTGAGACGATGTGTACCAGCTCCCGAACACCACCAATCTACACGTTCATGGCATCGTGCTCAGCCTTACCCCTTGCGGGAAGGATCTGGAGGGGTGTGGTCCGGCCAAACGGCTCTACTGTATGCCCTCCATGGTGGTTGCAATCGAGATAGCCAAGTTACGAGATCCAACACTCCGAGTGAAAAGTTTCTTCCCAGGAAGAGGGCTGTCACAGCCGGAGTCAAAGTCGTACTCGGGACTATATAGATCGTTCACTGCAAGATGTACTGTGATCTGCATGTGTTCGAAACAGCAGCAACAACCCCTTGCTTGATCAGCGCGCATTGTCAGTGCGCCTCAGGATCAGGGGAAAAGGGTCAGCTGTGCCGGTTTGCCGAGAGGTGAGCGAGATAGTGGATGTTTTCCGAGTTTGATCAATTTCAGATCTTTTCCCTGCGGCCGACTTTTATTCTTGTGCAGTAGGTGCGGGTTGACTGAAGTAAACGGCAACCCACTGGTATCTGCTGGTGAATCCGTGTAATGCCGTCGCCAATGGGGGTACAGTGACCCAACCCTCGTAAGATCAGAGTCCGAGAAGTTCTGGACAAGCTGATTTCACCTGGAAACGGCAGAGAGAAAGACAAAGCAAGTCTCTCCCGGCTGTGCTTTCACATTATTCTGCGAAATGACAAAAGTTAAGAAACAGGCACTCAGGTGAGACCTCATCATACCTCATCTCTTCTCGTATTCGTCCCGATAAATATCTGATAGCCTTCCAAAGGACTTCATGTGTCACCCAATGCGCCGGCGGACGATGTCTTTGGCACGGTCCTGGGCCCGGGTGATTCCTTCATGTAACTTGCATGCAAAAGGCAAACGTGGTTTCCTGAAGGCCGACTGTCTCGCCGCTCTGTGCCCGAGGTATGACTACAAGCTCATCGCAGATCATTCTCCCGGTACTTATTGGGCGCACCCCCATCATCACGGATCCAACGCTGAGATCCCAGCTTCGCAGGGTTGAGCTCCGCTTGTTTTGAGTGGCTTTCGCGAAGCTACCCTCGTGCTTGGGTGGCCGCAGGTCATGCAGGCGGGTGCTGGAGCTGCGTCGGTGCTTTTGGTGCAGGATCCACCAGGCCAGGCCCCTCTTCAGAGACATGACATGACATGAACGTGATATCTGCGAGGCTTCCTCTCAGCTCAGCTGGAGACATTGCCAGATCACAGTTTGATGTTGCAGTGGCCTGGCTCTAACTCCGAGGCTTGGTTTCCCGTGTGACTCAGGTTAGCGTTAGCTTTCCGAGCTCTGAGGAACTTGCCTCTGCCGCTGTTGACGGCAGCTGCGAAGGCATCTGGGGACCAGCTCTTCCAGAGCTCCCCACAAGAAGACCTCTGGCTGGTGAATGGCGCAGTGCAGCCCGTTCTTACCGTAGCCTCAACCCAGTGGCACCGTTTGCGCTTGGTAATGGCCGGTGTCTCTGATTGGCTTTTCTTGGACTTTGGAAGCTGCGAGACAGCGCTGCTCGCAAAAGACGGCATTTACATTGATGACTTCCCACGCTGGATATCCCGTGTGTCCCTGCCCCCTGGTGGACGAGCAGATCTCGTCGTACGCTGTCCAGGTAGTGAGGAAGGTACCAATCATGCCATCGCTTCTTTAGCCAGTCCCGGAAATGGGGTGAAGTCCTATGTGGGTCCCCTGTTTTCCATCCGCTCGGTCGAGTCGCAGGGATCCAGAAAGGAGGACTTGGCCCCCTGGCATCCTCGAAGCCGGCCGACGTATTTGCAGGACCTCAGCGGTGGCCTGACGAGCCCGGATTGCAGCTGCAAGACTCCACTGGGACAGGGGGTTCACACTCGTTGGATTGATGGCCACCTCTTCGAAGGTGCCAAGAAATATTTGCATCAATGGCCACGCGACGCGGTTGTGCAGCGAGAGATTTCAGGGATTGACAAGCACAGTCGCTTGCATGCACCATCATCGGGTCACCTCTGAACACGGCTCATCGAAGGCTCGGTGTTATAGCTTGTTGAGCGCAGACCCTTCAGTCTTCATCTGAGGTTTTCACCAGCACACATGGCCTTTTCAACTGCAGAACACGCCTGGCGGCAATGACCCCTACTTCAAGGCCATCATGCAGCGTTGGGTGACAGGGGGCATCAGGGGGCCGTCTGGGCGTCGTCGTCTCTGGCCGAAAAACGACGAGCGTGCTCAGGGATTTTACGAGCAGAAGGCAGAGGAGGGGAGAACGCGGAAGACCCCAGCAGCCAGTGCGATTTTCGGGACGACTTGCAGCCGAAGGGCCTAAGGGTAGACTGCGCATGGGACGAAGATCTGAACTCGAAACCAGCTGGGGCCGCTAGCCCCTATTCAAAACGAGTCGAAGTGGTGTATAGTTTGAACCAGGGGATAGAGGAAGAGGGAGAACATAATGTCATTGTATACATACATGCATACATGCATACATACATACATACATTGACATACATGCTTTCAAAGGTGCATGCTCAGTGTGTTTGGCAGGGGGAGAAGCAAGGGGTCTGAAGGGCACAGGTGAGAGAAGTGTGAGGGTCACGGGTGAGGCCCAGTCCATACCCCCCAGGCCCCAGAAGAGTTAGGCAGGGCTACAGCTGGCTTGAGTTAAGTCTGCTTTAGCAATGGGGCAGACAAAGGCAAGACAGCAACATTTTCAGTGTTCAGTGGTATTGCCAATCTAGGAGGAGGGTGCCTTTGAGGGTGGGAGGGGGGGGCAGAGGTAGATTGATTTTGTTTCTTACAGCATTCCGCGCTTTTGGGGTTGGGGGGTAGCGGGAGGGGCGTAAAGTGGTAGATTGGTATCTCAGAAGCCGCGTTTCGTAGCAAAGGATGGGTAGCTGTGGAATTCATCAGCGGCTGCCTGCTCCGCAGATGCTTGTGGAATGTCTCAGGTGATTGAGCAGTCGCATGCAAGTAGTCGTATGGACTACAATAAATGCGAAGCAGTGTCATGCGCCGTTTTTGGCAGTAGAGTTCAGATCACTTTGTGCAAATCTCTCCTGGACATCAAACCTGGCTTCAGGTCAGATACAACCCATTGAGTGACTTCTGGTGCACGCTGCTGCACCAGATTACCTTTCACCTCTGCATTGTGAGTTGGTCTGGGACATGAATGCTGTCAAGATGTACTATGGTCTGTAACATGAAGCCTGCTAAGATGTAAGATTTGTTGCCTTTGAACTGCGGTGGGTGTGTGAAGTAGAGCCTGCTAAGACTGCTAAGATGTCGTTGCCTCGGAGTTGTGGGTCAATCAAATGATTGTTGCTTCTGAATTGTGAATGGGTCTGTGACATGAAGCGCGACTGCTTCTGCCAAACCCCTAATCATAAATCCCATGCGGCGTTTCTTGCCAGCCGGCAGAAATACAGAAAGTGTGTGCTTCATCGGGATGCCGTCAGGCCGGCGACTGGCATGACACTTACCAGAACGTTCTTGACTCCAAGGTCTCCGGGGATCTTGTGTCAGTACATGTGGTAAGATCAGTCTTAAAGCCCTGGCCGGTACAGCTATATCCTTGCTTTGCTTGTCAGCTGCGAGGTCGAGCCCGGTTTTGGGAAACAGCTTTTTCCTTCGTGTAACAGTGACCCGGGACGAAGGCCCCACATAGAAAACAATAGGAACATGTGTGACTGTGGGTTTAGCCACTTCGGTCTAGTCGTCTTTGGCAGGCCCCACTGACATGTCCACACGCTTCTGCGAGGCTACTGTCCGCTTCAGCACAGTCGATTTTGCTGGACCGGAAGTGGCGCCTTAACTTCATTGATCACGTTCTGGCCGGTCCTGTTTTCCTGCGAGGTTGGCTCGCTTGCTCCTAGTTGCCGTTCTTACTCGATTTATGTGGGATGCTCTTCGCCTAGGCTGACGCCTTCTCGCATGGAACCTTGTTGCATCTTGGTGCATTGTCAACCCTCCGCTAGGTGCATTGCCATGCTCTCGCGCATTCGGACCGGCTCACTGTAGCTTTGATTTTATCATGTTTCTCACTATGTCTCATATCGCGTTGCCCGGCATTTGGCTGCCGGCAGGATCAGGGGATGATCGGTGCGGAGATCGTTGCAGGCCAGAAGCTGCCTCGCCTTGCAACAATGCTGCGTGAACCGCAATCCACAAAGTTCTTCGCAGTACCTGAACTCAGACTCCGGGCTGTGAATCCGAGTGCCTGCAGGACGGGGTCGGGACGCTTGCCATTGTGACCTCCTCGGAGAGGCAACTGCTCACTCGAGTGTCATTCTGAGAAGCCCGAAAAAGCCCATAAGTTTCGCAGAAGTCACCTCGTTGCAGACAGGCTTGCAGATCCGTGTTTTGAGATTCAGAGAGGAACAAGTTTGCAAGATGTGATCTCAATGTTGCTCTGCTTGCATATGTGTGTGTAAGCCCTCTGGATGGCATGGTGCAGGGACACGCACCTTGCCTTTGTGGCTTGTTCTAGTTGTACCCCAATCTGTCGCCCTGGGTTGTCGGTTGGTGGTGCCGGCAAGCAAATCAATGCGGAATCTGGGCAAGTGCTGAGTGCTTCGCCGGCTATGGCACGTGAGCTGAGCACGAGCTGTTGACGCAGGCGCAGCCAGTGGATTTCATGGCAGACGAACGAAGCCATCATCCAAGAGCGGGCATGAAGTGTTGTGTCGCAGCATGCAGCGGGATTTGTTGCGCACGCCCAAGGCCAAAGCCTGCTGCTAGTGTGGAGCCCCAGCAGTGACGAGGCTTTGCGCTGATAAGTTCTAAACGCAAAGCGTCCTTTGACCTGCCCAGGTGGCAGGCCTGCTGTTCATGGCGATGTCCCTGCTACTTGTGGGAATGCTTCGACAGGCCCTGCTGATCACTGTCGGACCCGTGTGACTCCAAGACTCTCTTGGTGCTTTTTTTGCGAGGTCGTCCGCTCGGCTCGATCACTGTCGGATGCATACAGCACCCTTCCGGACGGACCTGAAAGTGCGTGAGATAGCAGGATGGAGGCCTTCCCGCTTGTGTGCTGGACAGCGGCTCATGCCGCAGACTGTTCCTCCTTTGCAGCCGTCAAGGCTTCATGTTTCCCTTCGGGCAATTTTGTTGCCGTCGTTCCGGCGCTTTTCAGCCGCGCTGTGATACCGCGTATATTTTTGGATGCGTTGGTGACGCAAGTGCGCAAGATGCCGGCTGGGCTTGCCAGTGCCAAGAAGCAAGGTCCTTCCGAACTCGAAAAGCAAAGGCACGATAAGTTTGCAGTGGGCTCCCTGCGACAGAGCGCTTCAAGTCCAGCCGTGCTCTCTCAGTTTTCGCTGCAGCATGCAGTGCATGCAGCCTCTGAGATCAGAATCACCGGTGCGGAACACTGCGCTGAAATACGCTGAAGCTTCAGCTCCAGCTGTGAGCCGGCCTCGCTCTGTACGTGTCAGGCCGGCACTCTCTACACGGTGTGCGAGCAGGAGGTGCGGCTGACTTGTGCCGAAAGAGACGGGTCATTGGGTAGCGGAACGGCAGGGCGAGGCCATTGCGCATGCCGGCTACTGTGCCGATGGCCTGCAGTGGCGAGCAGACGAAGGCCTGGTGAGCAAGTGCTGGCATCGTTCAACATCGTGCGGCGATCTGTTGTCATAGTTTGTGTTGCCAGTCGGTGATGCCTTGGGGGTGGCTGTGCTTCTCTGCAGGCGAGCTGCGTGTCAAGGGGGATGGCATCTTCACAGCCTACCACGGGCGCCCTCGCAGTACCAGGGAGGTAGGGAGGGATGATAAGATGACTGCATAGCAAGGGCAGTCTGAGAATCACGAAGTCTTCACGAAGTGTCAGCTGGCGCAGGCCTTTGATGAGGACCTCAGCTGCAGCTTTGCTCGTACCAATGACTTGGAAGTTAGGGTCGTGTCTTATTCTAGAAGGACGGCTTCTTCTGCAAGACAGGCCAGCTGTGAATAACAAGCATGCCAGAGAATTGCTGTCGAAGCTTCAGCGCTGCAAGACTGATCACAGTGCATGAAATGGCTTGCATCAAAGCTCCCGCGTCTCACAGTGCACACTGGCTTCAGGCCATCGAGCCCTGAACATTGAGGCGCTTTTCCGCTTTATGAGGCTTTCTCTCTCGCCCGGCTATGCCAGGCTGATATGCTGCTTCCGCTGCCTTTGCAGATCAATCTCGAGGTCGAGCAGGCCGGAGCTTCAGAGCTGCGCGCCGGACTTTCTCGGCTCTCAAAGCCGAGCCGAGCCGCCCTGCGGCGCCCTGCGAGGAGATGCACAGGCTACTGCGCAGAGCGCCTAACCAGGAAGGGCGCTGCCGGCAGCTTTCCAGTCCCGAAACGACACGGGATGCACGTGAAGCAATGCCAGGCCCCAGCAAATGACGCCAAACTGGAAGATCAAGAAGGTTCCCATTCGAATCTACAACATGTGGATCGTGCTGGGCTAAGCCGGCTAAACTTGCATTGCCGAATACGGTATTGGCGACCCATGATGGCGCCCACGCTTGTGGTCAAGGCAAACTGGGGAGGCCTTCTTGTTACCAAGAAGCACAACCCGGGCAAAAAGGTCCGGGGCAGTGACTTACACTTCTAAAGCTTCGTGATTGGCGAGTGGCCGCAAGCAATGTCTCCGACGTTTAGTCGCCAGGCATACGTCAGCAAGTACTACAAGTGATGAGGCATTTGATAGCATCCGTCGTCGCCGCAGGTGACGAAAACGGCGAGGGGGGAGAGAATGCTTTCGTGCTTCTACTGCTTGCATAGTCCGGCATAGTGCACCGCCTGACCAAAGTGCGTGGATGAGTTGAGTTGCGCTGCCGTGCGTCTGCTCCTATGCCACCCAGACTGTAAGCGCGGCGACTTCTCAGGGATCCTTGCCATCCCCTCAGCTCGTGGATGTGCTGCCTTTGTGCATGCCTTCCTTCCGAGAACTCAGGCAAGCGCTGCCAAAGCTAGCAATGAGGGCAATCCTAGGCACGTTGACTGTTCAACTCTTGTGTGTGGGCATGGCTCTTTTCAACAGTGCAGTCCTAAGTCTTGTGTTCGGAGTTGGTTGTGGTACTAGCATTACTAGCAACCATGTCTGCAACTTCAATCTGAAGAAGCCATCGTTAGGCCTAGCCCTGCTCGTGCCAAGAAGCTTTCTCGATGCGAGCTTGGCTCACGGAAAGCAGTACTGGTAGCCCACCCAGTGCCCATGAAGACCAAACCTCTGAGAAAGACCGCCCGCCCATCAGCAAATCGGGACTGGAGTGCACAAGTTTAGGGCGAGGAAGGTACTGGAACAGGGCAGTTGTGAGCATATGCTGAGATAGAACGATGGTGTTGATAGCAAGATGCACTCCTGCTACAGTGATCTGCAAACTCCTCTACATCTCGATCGCAACCTGTGTGAACACAAAGAGTCTCCATGGAGAAGCCTTCCGAGACCGATCAGCATGCGCTGTGGGTGGAAAACATGCCTCTCGGTGGATGTAGTCTTGAAGAACAGCCCTCTGTTGCTGGTTGGAGGATCCCGCGTCGATGAGGCTAGTCGCAGTCTCTGTCTTTAAGGATACGAGCGGGTCTGGAGACAATGTGCATCGAGCATTTGAAGGATGACCACTTCATCCTGTCTCCACATCCGCTGGAAGCTACTACCAGATACCTCCTTGCATATGACTCTAACACGCTGCCCGCATGCAGTTGGGGGATGTTCCTCGGTTTTTTCGCATTTACTGGTAGGAGAGGAGGCTTTCTCCGGCGCTTCTGAGGTGTTCCTCAGCCGACTGCTGGACTCTCTGGGGAGCTGGTGTTGCTGCGTATGTGGACTACTTGAGAACCTTGGTCACGGTCTTGATTCGATGATTTTGTACTGTTTTTGTGCTGTTTTCAGTCAGTCAGAGTGATTCTACGCCGTGCCAGTGTGGCCATGTTCGAGGCTCCGGATCTGGCAGCGTTTTTGACATCCCTGCGCACTTCCACAGCTCCCTGGACTCCATCGTGAAGCAGCTCTTGCGTTCGGTGCAGGATGCGACGCTCTATCACCATCCCACAAATTTGTACATCCCCGCAGCGATGCACTGCCCGGAGGACACTTCACGTTCTCTGCGGCGAACAACCAACGCCTTCGTTATGAGTAGTCCCAAAGACATGGACCGCCAGAGCAAGGACCGACCTTGATCGCCGTCTTCACTCAAATTGAACTTACGAACTTCTGCCACAGAGATGCAGGAGTCCTCGCTGGAAGATATTCAGGCAGCCGCTGAGCAACTGCTGGCAGAGTCGAGACTGAGCGCCTGGGCGGTGCTTTTTTGCGACCGTTTGCACTAAACATGTTGGGGAACTTTGAAGAGGACGGAAGAGGCCTTCCTCCTCGAAGCGTTTTTTTGCAGCCTTTTTGTGGAGAGCTCTATGACGAGGTGGGCCTCCAGAGGCCTGGCAGCTCCCAGATGGACGGCACGAGCTGCTGTTGAAAGAGCTCACCTTGTTAGAGGCAGAGTTTGAACTTTGTATTTCTTGCCGGAAGTCTTCTTGGTGCTTTTCCTTGTGGCTTACATGGTCCGACCAGTCCATGCCTCAAGGGACGAGCACAATCCCTGTGACACCTCGCAGACCCGATCTCCCCCGCAGTTGCCCTCGTTCACATCATAATGAAGATGAACCTCCCGCAACCACATTCTTGCGAAACTCGCCCTTGTCAAGGTCCTTGCTAGCACAAGGGGCAATCCTTCAAGCACCCAACCAGCGCGGTTGAATCATTGTTGAATCGAGAGCGTTGCAACGGATAAGCTCCCCGCGCAAGGAAGATCAACAATAGCTCGTACACTGGTAATCAACAGAGGCTCGAACAAAGGCGAGCGGTGACGTCTGCAATCGTCCAGGATCAAGTCAATGACGGCCGGGCTTTGCGCGAGGTGGAGGCGCAGGCAGGGCTGGAACTCATCAATAACAGTATGAACGTAGTATTCTCACCAATTATCATGAAGTGCAATATGGTACGATATTGCATACATGCATGCATGCGTGCATGTATGTATGTATGTATGTACGTATGTATGTACGTATGTATGTATGTATGTGTGTATGTATGTATGTATGTATACATGTACATACTCACACACACACACATACACATACATGCATTCCAAGCACAAGCGTCTCCTTTGCCAGGCTGAGGTGGTGGCTGAGGCCCTCGCAGGACAAATGGCTGAGAAGGATTGGGAGGAGCTCTCTGGCACACATTGAGCGATGGCCATGGTTTCAAGACCAGTGCAAAAACGACAGCTCTTGCACCAAGGCTGTATGCTGAAGCGTCTACGGCTTTCGGAGAGACTGCCACGTTCCGCTCCACCTTCCGCGACACTGGCACCTTCCGCGACACCGGCACCTTCCGTGACACTGGCACCTTCCGCGACACTGGCACCTTCCGTGACACAGGCGTTCTGCGGAATCAGTCCACAGATGGTTACCGGAAGTCAGCTAGGGAAACCGCCGCTTGAGCTTGTGTCAGGATTCAGCACCTGGTCGTTCGACTTTCCGGAGCCCAAGACGCGAGACGTCTTACAACAAATCATGGACGAGCACAAGCTGCCTGAGTCCATGCAGAAGGAGGGGGCGGGGGAATCGATGGTCCTTCCTTGCAGACAGCAGACACTGTCTGTCAGGAGCTGGACGAGTTTGAAAGTGAAATGGAGGTCACGCTTTAGCTTGGGTAGCGGGAGAAGAAGCGCGTTACACTGCAACAGGACTTGTCAAGCTGTTTGAGCGTCTGCCCAAAGGCCAAAAACCTGGCCGCGGAGGAGCGGTTCGGGCTGCTATCCGTAATGCCACTTAGCGTGCAAGTTGGTGAGCCCGGCTGCGGGCACGGGTTGTGATTTGTCCGGTCAAGCGCAACGGGTCCACATGCAGGCGCAAGACCAGCACTTTTCGGCATGATGGCCGACGAAGGGCAGGTCGGGTGCGGGCTTGCTAGAGCCTCTGCGAGAGCGGAGACTACAGGAGCTGAGTAGCACAAAGTAGGCATCAGAGA